ATAGCCGGACACCGCCGGAGTTGGAAAAGATAACGCACAAGGGAAGAGCCTGCTCTAGTTTGAGTAGAGCAGGCTCCACCAAAGAGTAGAGCAGGCTCTACCTTAGGTAGAGCCAGCTCTTGGGGCTCTAGAGGCGGCTCGACCTTGTGTGGAGCCGGCTCTACAAGGTGGTGGAGGCGGCTCCACCTTGTGTGGAGCTTGCTCCTCCAATTTTTGTGATTTTTCCACCTTTTCAGTAATAGTTTTGGCTACGGGTTTCAAAATTGGTTGTTTTCAGATGCAATTAGGAGCTACACAGGGATTTTTCAGTAGCATCTAAGTCTTATTAAGAAATTTTGAGGGTGTGTTATTATATAATAAATCACAAGGAAATTGGTAGATTAAACCGTTATGGTTTTAAGGGAACTTGTGAATTGTTTTTGGAGGTAGAGGATTTCAAGTGCAGAGCCTTATGGGTTGCTATTTATCTGGGAATGGACATATTGTTTAATCATATTTCTGTAATTCAAATTAAGCATATTAGATTACAGAATGATTATATATTTGTAATGGACAAACTGACGTCTACATATATTAAAATGTATTTTCAGTTCTTGGATAATTAAGAAGTGTGTAAGTTAAGCATGCTCGATTATATATTTTGACACTGCTTAATATGGTTTAGTTGGTATTTACATTCAATATTTTGTATTATCAACTTACCAGATGATATGGAATGGTTTAAGTGAGCATATTAATTCTAATATTGACATTAGTATGTAGATAGGGGATTAAAGGATGGATTACACTTGTGCCCTACGTTTTATAAACTATTAAGAGAATTATGTACTGTTCGTGTATGACAAGCATGCTATTTATACCTTCTTGCTGTACTTGTTATGGATGTGTTGGTATTGATGTTTATAATGTCATCTGTTTTATCAACAATTGGATGGATGGTATTAGACTATTTATGGATTTGTTGATATTGTAATGCTTACTGTCTTTTATATTATCAACACTGGATGGATGGATCGTATGCACCGGTATGGGACGGTGTCATACTAGGGGGATTAGCTCAAAAATGCTAAGTCCTACCTACTCTGGATTAAGGGATGGATTAACTACAAAAGTTAAGTCCTACCTGTATTTTGTGTCAGATCACTAAACAGTTGAGTGACACTTTGGTTTGGAATGGAATTTAAATATATTTTTATGGTGCCACGATATGAGCCTGAGTCTCAAAGTCGTTGGCTAGGGAGCGTATATGCATTGGGATGCATAGCTGGCTATGATGGTTGGATGTGTACCCTGCTAGGTCTAGGTAGTCATGCCCACCTCAGGTGCGTTTTGCATGGTGCCTACTAGTCAGGTTGAGACGGGCCTGTAGTCCAGTGAGAGTCCTGTAGTGTGATTATATATATATATATTTATCTACGGACTATTAGCTATTGTTGGATTGGTTATGATGTACATGCGTATCGGGTCTCCGCTTGGGTAGTAGTAGTATAGAACTTGCATGTGGGCCTGACCCACTCATCATTTTTCAGGTATCGGACATTTCCAGTCTAGAGCTTGTTCGTGCTAAGCAGAGACGATCTTCCATTCTACCGACAACGTAGGACTTATTTCCAAATATTAGATTTGGATTTTATTTTCAGTTTTACTTTCATTTAGTTTGGGATTTTTATTAGGGGTCTACTAGAGATGGATTCTCGAGTTGTTAAACTGACGGAGTTTTGGATTTTACTTTTAATTTCTTCCAGCTTAAACTTTATTTATTAAATTCATTTTGTCATCTGTGTTCGATTAAATATTAATTGTTTGATATTCCCTCGGGTTTGGGCCTGGGCCTGATCAACCCGTGTCTCGGATCCGAGGGGTATCACAAAAACTGTCGGAAATCCAAATTTGTACTAAAACTGAATTTCTACATTTTGATTTAGTTGGATTTCAATTTTCTAGTATTTTTTATTGAATCCAAATGGGGGGTACTTCCTTATTTACATTGTAAACTTAAAGTAAATGTTTTTACAAATTAAAGTAAAAACAGTTACTTAAATGTTTTAAGGTATTTCGGTCGACCGAAATGCAATGGTATTTCATTTTGGTCTACCGAAATAAAGAGTGACAGCCAACCTTGAACCATTTCGGACGACCAAAACACAATGGTGTTTCATTTCGGTCGACCGAACTTGCCCAGATTCGAATCTGAACTGCTATTTCCTCTCGAACCGTGTGCCCAACAGCTCTATTGATATCAGATGCACTAGAAACGCTATAAATATAGTTGGGTTTTTTGGTTTCGAGTTGAGGCTTTTAAAAGGAACTTCTACAGAACTTTTGCTCTAGTTGTCCACATAAGGAATCACCATTGAAATACATTGTATATCATTCATGTGATTCATCTTGCAAACTTAGAGTTGAGCTTTTATTTGATTATTTCAATTATAACTCTAAGTATAAGAGCTTTGATTTGTATATTTGTCTATTTGAGAGACATTCAATGTAAGCTTCATTATATATCCATTCTTGAGAGAAGAAGACCAAGAGGTGCTCTTGGCAAGGGAAAGCTTGTTTAAGCTATTGTAAGGGTTCTCTTTCTCGACCCATAAAAGAAAGAAGGTGTCTCTCTAATGAGAGGATTTGGTAGAGCTCTCCACCCACAAGAGTGAGCAAAGGTTCCTTCTTAGCCGTCAAAAGAAGGAGAAACGAGATGTCTTCATTACAAGGTCGGTTCTTCACCCGCAAGCAAGAACATGTAAAGGTTTGCTCTCCACCCGTAAAGAGGAGCCATAGTGGAATCCTTGAGAGGTTTTCTCAAGGCTTGGACGTAGGCCGAGGTTGTGCCGAACGATGTACATCGTGTGTCTCTTGGTTTGTATTTTCTCTACTCTCTTTATTTCCCTTGTATTTTCCATTTCATAATTTTAATGATTTATTTATGAATGTTATGAGATGGACATGTTAATTTATATATGAGGAGGATGGGATGAATGCTTTGATTAAGTTAAATGAGTGATTGATTTTAGCTTAGACTTTATATCCTATAATTGATTCATATATAACTAAAATGATGTTGCATACCAAGTGTTTGACAAAATGCATATTCAACACATCCTCCATCTTTAGAGTTTATATGCACACCAAGTGTTTGATAAATTTGTAATAAACTTTATGACTATGTGTTACATGTTATTTGCACCTTGAATATTAATCACATCAATATTGTGCAAATGTTAATTCTAAATGGTTAGTTGAATTGAATGCATTAAAGTTAAAGTAATTCATTTATTTGAATCAATGATAATCACACTTAGATGCATGACTAATTAGCATGATTCAATGTATAAAATGAATTGGTCATTTGCTAAAGCAATATACTCATGTGTAGTAATCTCATTGTATTACATTTCAAGTACTTGGTGATATCTACACTACAACTCTTTAGAAAAGCATTCATCACAATGAATCATATTAGGCTCTAAAGTATAGAGATAAAGAAAATGAGCTTAAAGAAGCTAAATCGAAAAAGTTCCATAATTTGCCAATGACCCTATTCACCCCCCCTCTAGGGTCATTAGTTGGGCAACACATAGGGCATGTCTTTCAAAGTTTCCCATTCTACATTTTAGGTTAATTTTTCATTTAACGAGCAACTCTGTTGTCCAAAATACAAAATCCATTCAATAGTTTAAGCCCCAACCCAATTGGGCTAACAACAATAATCAACTTAAACTTCAATTCCCCAATAGTTAAATTCAATCCAATAAAAGTAAAAGTAAAAATGAAAGTAAGAAAAATCTAACTCCAGTAAACCTCAGACTCACACTCCAAAGAGAAATCTCAATTTCTTCACCCAAATCATGTAATGATCAGTAAAAATCCAAATTCATGCTCCGATTCAAAGCATTTGATTCGAAACATAGAATTTCAAACTCAAACTTAACTCAAACCTAAAATAGTATAAGAGATGAAGATAGAGACTCAGATAAGTTCAATTTTGTCACCCAATTTGTGCAATTTTTAGTCAAAACCCAAAATTTAGGCCCTATATCCAAAGTTTTGAATCAAAACACATGATGGAAGGCAAGAATCCCAGCAGGAATGGGTACTTGGAAACTTATCCTGACGGGTTGGGATGAGTTCTCCAAACACATTTGTTTCAAAGTTAGGAGTGGAAGGCATATCAGGTTTTGGGAGGACAAATGATGTGGGGACTTTGCTTTGGCTCGTAGGTTTCCTCGTCTCTTCAGGAATTCTGTGAACAAACATGTTGTGGTTAATAACTATTATCGGCTCGATAGTGATGTTCAGTTTCATATAGAGTTCCATGACTGGGAACTTTTCGAGGTTACAGATTTCTGTTAGAAAATCTATATTAGGACACTTGTAATTATTTTACCCACAAGGGTGTTATAGTCTTTTCATTATTTCTATACTCTTGTGTGTGTGTGTGTCTGTATATCTATATATATATATATAGATATATATATATAAAAGATATTAACGTGAGAAATGAGTGGGCTTTTCTTCTCAAACAAAGTACCCCAAACCATGTCTATTGTATTTCACTCAACAATTTCCAAGCCTTTATTTATTGCCAGGTTGTGAATGGTGTGGGCATGGACAAGATTGTGTGGAGGGTACCTCGAGAGGGGTGTTTGAGGTTAGGAATTTCTATCAAAGTCTTATGGATCTTCATGTCCCCACTTTTCCTTGGAAAGCTATTTGGAGGATGAAAGTTCCCCTGAACGTGGCATTTTTCACTTATTCTATTACCCTGGGGATTAAACTCACCTTTGACAACCTTAGAAGGAGATGTCATATTGTGGTGAACCGGTGTTGCATGTGCAAGAAGTTGGGTGAATCTGTGAATCATCTTCTGCTTCATTACCTGGTGGAGAGGAATGTTTGGTCTATGTTTTTGGTTGCTTTTGGTCTAGCTTTAGATTTTCAAGAATCCACAGTGGACATGTTAGAATCTTGGAAAATATATATAGTGGAGAGCTGAATCAGAGATGCTTGGAGAGCCACTCCCCTTTGTTTATGGTCGGGTTTGTGGTGTGAGAGGAATAGAGATCCTTTGAGTGAGAGGAGTCTCCTATCTGGTCTCTCAAATACATATACAGTCTTCTTTATATTTTGGGGTTAATGGGCGAAATTGTAAATCTATGGATCGCTTTTTAGGTTTTGTGGATTGCTTAAAGTTATAGTGCCGTCAATGATAGATCTTGTTTCCTTTGGAAACGCTCCCCTTTTGAGCACATTTAGTGAAATTTTATTTTTAAAAAATTAAATAATTAAATAAAACACACAATTAAAAAAAAAAAAAAAATGGTATAGTAGAGGAAAAGAAATACAATTTTTTTTTTTATATAAGTGAAAAAAAGGAAACTCACACAGCTAGTTTTCTCAACTGATGGATAACACCGATGAGACCTGTCATAGCCACCCACACTTACAAGTAGAGCTTCCAGATCATCTTTATTGGCTTCCCTATATAGTTCTGGATCAGCCAACGAAACGACTTCTTTGGTAAACAAGTCTCAAGTTTATAGCAGAAAAATGACAAAGAGGCTATACTTCAATTGTTGTTAAGGCCCTCCATCACCTTCGCTTTCCTTTCCTCCCTTTTCCATTGCACCAACTGATAAGGACATTTAGATGAAAGTTACCCAATTTTAGGACAATGACAATCCCTTATGAAATTTGCAAGCCAAAAGTCAATTTTACCCCTCACTATTTTATTAATTTTAATTATAAAATATCAAAATAATTAAACGACCAAATTACCCTTTTTCATCTTTTTATATATATGGGTTAAGTGCATTAAACCCCCCTGAACAATCTTCTCTTTCCTAAGAAACCCCCCCTGAACTATGGTTATAACACTTAATCCCCTAAACTATTTTGTTTATTGAAAAAAATCACATTCCGTTAATTTTCAGTTGATTCAATGACGGTAAACGACTGTGCAAGTCACGTGACCAACCTATCTTTTGAAAAAGACATTAATACCCTTGCAAGCATAAGTTTATGAGTTATGCCCAAACACAACCTTATGCCCATCTGCCCAATCGGTGTTGTCCTCACCATCACTGAAATAATCTCTGGTTGTCTTCATTGGAGCTTTCTTCATCGTCGTTTGTCTCACCCTTAAGGCCGCTTTCTTCATTGTCGTTTGTCTTCATCGTCATTTTGAAGTCTTAAGACCGCTTCTGGTACATGATTTGGGAATATGGCCGATTATATGTTGTATATTAACAGACTTCTTCAGAAAAATTAATAAAACACAAAATTATATTGAACCTCTGTAATTATTCTTGTGAACTTTGGGTTAAGCTTTTTCCTATGCAGGGAAGACCAGCCGCAACCATGTCCACTTACAACCACCGTCGTGCACCACCATCAACAACGTTACTACAGCCACCTGGCCTCCACGCACCACCATCAACAACGTTACTACAGCCACCTGGCCTCCACGCACCACCATCAACAACGTTACTACAGCCACCTGGCCTCCACGCACCACCATCCCTTCATTATAACTGCCACCACCATGTCCACCTTTTAACTATGGCAGCGCCACCACCATGTCCACCTTTTAACAACGGCAGCGCCACCACCCCCACACCGGCATTGCCGCCACCACCACCCAACCCCACAATCGGCAGCGGAAATCAAGGGAGAGAGAAAATAAAGGCATCGCCACCACCATCCGCACCCCAAAACCACCACTACATATTTCGGATAAATTCTGCAAATGTATTAGCAATGACAAAATTAGTAACTGAATCACAACTTTCTCTCTCTGACTCTATTTTATAATCGATTGAGAAATAAATCAAGCCATCTCCAGTGAAATAGCGTAACCAATTCTTAAACGAACGATTCGATGATCTAGATGAAGATATGGATGCAGAGATTGATTGGGCTTGAAGCAGGCATGGAGCTTTGTCCTTGATTGCAGTAAAATTGGAGATGATCAGCCATGTTCAAGATGTTCCATTTCATATAATAGCGGCCGTTAATCTCCGCAACCTCTTTCTAGCCGTAGTTCTAGTGGTCTCCGCCAACGGTAGCATTATTTTGGGCATGGTGGCAGCGTGTAATTAAGGTTTGCAGAAAAAATGTTAAGGGGGTGAGTGGAGAGATGCACGTGAGAGGAAAAAAAAAGTTGGAGTAATTAGGTAACACGACGTCGTCAAAGTAAGGGTTAAATGGTAATTTCGTTTTCCGTTAACGCCTCTTTAACAGTTTGTTACTAAATGCAACAATGTAATAGTTTAGGGGGTTTTACTTACTTCAGGGGGGTTTCTTGTAATTGAGTCATAGTTTAGGGGAGTTTAATGCATTTAACCATATATATATATATATATATATATATATATATATATATATATAACAACACAAGCACCGCGGGTGGACATTAAGGTTTCGTCGCTGGAGATGGAGAGGTTGAGGAGGGTGGTGGTGGTGTTTTCTTGGGAGATTGGAGAGAGAGAGAGTAGAGGGTTTCAGCGATGTAGGGTATTGCGCCCTCATCGGCGATCAAAGATCGACTTTTCCAGGTTGTGTTTGGAGATGAGACGAAGGTCCCAGAGAGCTTTGGTTCGAGTTTGTTCCGATACTAAGCTCAGCTTCGCTACCAAAGATCTCGTCATTCAGCGTCTGACTTCTATTTAGAGCTTCACTCTCCAAAGCTCGAGTTTTTCCCTTTTCTGGATCACGTATATATATATATATATATATATATATATATTGATTGTTGGTTCTTTTTCTCTCCTCTTGGTGCTTTGTTACAGTTGAAAATATCTAAAATTCGAAGAATTAAGATGTATACTTTATGGGTTTTACTTCTCTCTAAAACAAAGAAGATAGTTCTTCTACTTTGATTATTTTCTCTCTCTATATGTATCTATGCGTGTGTCTTTACAATTGTGTGTGTATGTGTATTTTGTGGTGTTCTTTTATGTTTTTGGTGGCATTGTTGCTTATGAAAAAAAAGGTCAAAATTTTGTTGGAAAATTGAATTTGGGTGGTTGGTAAATTGATAATATTGTAGTGTGTGAAATAGGTTTGGATTGAGGAAGCCATGGATAAGGTCGTATACCAAAAACGATGCATATTTACATCAGCAAAGAGATTGTGAATTGGTAAAGTTTTTGACCAAAGCAAGGCATGACTAGTTACATCAGCAAGCTTACAATTGAGATCTGAGAAATGCCAAGACCAATTAAAAAGCTGAATGAACAAGTACCAAACAATAGTAGCAAAGTTGCAATAGAAGAAGAGAACCAACATCATCCACTACATACTCACAAATTCACAATTAATACAAAGGGAAGCTAATTGCAGACCTCGCTTGTGCAAGTGTTAATAAAATTGAGAATGATGAGGAGGAGACGGCGGCGGCGGCGGCTAAGGGGTGATAAAGATGTAGTGTGTGTGTGTGTGTGTGTGTGTGTGTGTACATACAGAGAGAAAAGGGGAGATGGTTCTTTGCACAGGCGGGTTCGGGTTAGGGTTTGAGATGGATTTGGGTTAGAGTTTAATCCAAAGGTATTTAAGGCAATTAAAGGGTAAATTTTATATCAAAGGGTAATAAGGTCAATTCACCATCTTCAGGATATTTTTGTCTATTTTTCAAACTTAAAGGGGTGTCATTGTCCAGAAATAGACGAACTTTCACCTGCATGGTCTTTCCCCAAAACTCAGGGGGTGTCGGTATATTTTACCCTAATTAAAATATGGTTTAAGTCATAAGTCCAAAAAATACCCTCGTGGTGCAAAAAATACCGTACTTAAAAATTTCAAAATGCCCATAACCGGTGAACACCATAACTAAGATTTTTTTTTTTTTTTTTCCAAGGTTCAAGCTATGTTGAGGATAAATTTTTGAAAAATTATATGCTTCAAATGACATTTAAGATATAAATAACCTTATACTAATATGCTATAAGATAATAATATGCTAAAAATAATTAATTAAATATACAATTCTATATTTAATTAAACATGAAATTAAAGCAATAAAATAATAATAAATAAATAAATAAAGAACCTAGACCGAGGCTAGTATGTAATACTATGTCCTTAAGACAATTTACGCCCCGTATGGTGCTAACGGACTCTATGACGCTTGTCTCCCAGGATACAACGGTCTACATCCACCAATAGCAGTACTAAAAACTCATAGATACGGTGAACCTCCTCTATTTAATACTTTCTCTGACTCAAAAATGCATCTACACTTGAGAACACCAAAATGACCCGGGTTTGGTGTGATCCACATTGCATAGGACGGGTCGGGTGTGGACAAATGGGATGGAGCAAGTTCGCGCCGGATGGGCTCAAGTCCATAAAGTCATTTCAGAAGCCCATGTTATAATGAGGGAAGTCGAGTCCAGCCAAAAGAGAACAAGATAGGTCCAGCTCAGTGGAGGTTATAACCGTCTATAAATAAAGGGGGCTTGAGAGGGAAAAGAGGTTGGAAAAAATCATTGGGAGTGTAAAGTTTCTCTCTCTACAATTAGGGAAAAATTATTTGTACTTTCAATTGGCGCCGTCTGTGGGAAGAATAGGAAGGATTGATTGATATCATTCCAGATCAGATCGATTCAACGCATTCTGCGAGGAAGACGATTAATCTGCGAAAGCTGAATCAACATTGGTAATAATACGATCTGTCTTGACGAGTCCAGGTTCCGGTTGATTTCGAAAAATTGGCGTCCGATTCAAGCAGATCAGATCCGTGCTTGATCCGGCGGACTACGCGGTTGTGATCTGTTATAATTACTAAATCTGGCCAGTAGTGGACCGAATTTGGCAAGTGTAAGTTCAGATCTGGTGTGCGCGCGTTAGCGGAACTCCGATTTGATCAAGAAGCCTGCAGTTGATGACTTTGCTCCGATCTGGAATAATGATCGGAGAGGCAAACTCGAATTCTTTGGAGAACGGCCAGCAGACGAAGCTCGATGAGCTAATGAACATGATCGATGCTTTGAGGAAAGAAAATGCAAAGCTACGAGTTAGAATGGAGCATCGCGAGGCTCCTGTAATTTCGAGGCCGCCTCCTAAAGGAGAGGGAGCTTTACCGTTCGAAGCTGATCGTCAAGGTGATCCAGAAGATGTCAATCGTGGTGGTCCACGTCGTGATGAAGGTATAATCGGTAATCTGCCTCCGAATGTCGGCCGAGTAGAGGACCGAGAAGGATCTATTCGTCTGGAACCGCATCACAAACGGATTATGAGGGAGGAAGCACCGGCATATGAACATAGGATTGCGTCACCATGGCGAAGTGAATTTGCGGAGGATAGGTCGTTCGATCCGCCATACCAACCTTCATTAGCGACAGTTGATTACCATAGCTCAGAAAGGAGATCTGCCGATCGAGGATTTGCGTCACGGTTTTCAAGAGAAAACGAAGCATTGCGTTCCTTAGCAAGGACGGTCGCATCGCCGTTCACTGATGAAATTCTGAATGCGCCGAATCCGAAGAAGTTTTCCATGCCGATCTTCATTCTGTTTGATGGAACAACCGATCCGGTCGATCACATATACCATATTCAGTTGAAAATGGCTTTGAATACTAATAATGATCCTTTGATGTGCAAGTGTTTCCCTACGAGCTTAGCTGGACCAGCTCTCAATTGGTTCAAGAATCTGGCTCAAGGCTTAATCGCCAGTTTCCAGGACTTATGCGATAAGTTCATAAGCCAGTATTACGGGAATAAGCGTCCGGTTAAGGATATATCGAGCCTTTTTACAATGAAGCAGCATGAGGATGAGCGGCTCCAAGCTTTTCTCACCCGGTTCAACCTCGTTAAAAGCATGGTAATGGAGTGTCACCCGTCAACAGCAGTCCAAGCATTTAAACTCGCAATGAACAGGGGGACGCCGTTCCACACCAGCTTGGTGGTTAATATGCTAAAGATAATGGACGAGCTGAACGAGAGAGCTGATAGTTTTGTTCGCCTTGAGGAAGAAGAAGCAGCTAATTCAAGGAAGACGTCAATTATTTCGATGGAGGAGAAGTCCAAAGCCAAGATCCGGCAAAAACAAACTCAACCGCAACGTCACCCCTCATGGAAGGCGGAGAAGAGGACCAGGGAGGAGGAATCAGTCACTCCACTCAGAGTCACCTTAGCAAGGCTATACCAGGAGAATAAAGATAAGTTTCGTCCTCCTCTGCCAATCAGGCAACCTCTTGAACAGAAGGATCAGACTAAACATTGTGCTTTCCATAGTGATTTTGGGCATCAGACTAACGAATGCAGGAACCTAAGGAGGCAGGTAGAGATGCTGATCACAAAGGGGGAGTTTGCAAGCTATGTTCAGGGTCCGGCGCAAGAGCATAACCGCCCGACTGAACAAATCAAGCGGAACCAGAGGCCAAACCAACACAACTCTCAGCCCGTCTGGATTATAAACGCAATTCATGGCTGGCCTGAACAAACGACGGAGTCAGAGGAGTTGCTCAGAACGAGGTTACGCCAGGCCCAGCTGAAAAGAAGAATTGGTAGTGTGCGTGCTTTGCACCAGCAGAACACGTCCACGTCGATAAAGTTTGATAAAACGGACCTGCTACGCGTTCAGATTCCTCATGAAGATCCACTAGTCGTCAGTCTGACGATTGCAGAATGCCTAGTTCGGTGAGTCCTGATTAATCCAGGAAGTAGTGCGAATGTCATGCCCAGGGTGACGTTCGACCGACTGGAGATCGAACCCGAAAAACTTAAACCCACAGGAAATCCGTTGCTCGGATTTGATGGGAAGCGAGTGCAACCCGTTGGAATAGTGGAATTGACAGTACAAGCCGCTGAGC